ATCTAATGTATAAATTATTTATGTGATCTAATATACATACTTTATATACATATATATTTTTATAGTACTTTATAAGATTAATGTCAAATTTAATTTTTATTCTACTTCTAAATAAGATGAAGTTCCATTTAAAAATTGTATCTAATGTATAAATTATTTATGTAATCTAATATACATACTTTATATACATATATATTTTTATATTACTTTATAAGATTAATGTCAAATTTAATTTTTATTTTACTCATAAATAAGATGAAGTTCTATTTAAAAATTGTATCTAATGTATAAACTATTTATGTAATCTAATATACATACTTTATATACATATTTACTTTTATAATACTTCAAGATTAATGTCAAATTTAATTTTTATTCTACTTATAAATAAGATGAAGTTCCATTTAAAAATTGTATCTAATGTATAAATTATTTATGTAATCTAATATACATACTTTATATACATATATACTTTTATATTACTTTAAGAATAATGTGAAATTTAATTTATAAACGAAAAGATTTATGTAAGATTTTTGATTACAAATTGATTTATGTAATTTTTTAAATTTTTTGTTTTGCAATTAAAATTTTAAATGCACTTGAGCATTCCCTGCCACAGTCAACATATCCGAATTAGCACCGCTACACGGAGCCGCACAATACCGATCAACAACCCAAAGTTTCCTTCTTTTAGGAGCATTAAGGCTCCTCCGCAAGGGGGAAGGGATGTTGTGGATGCACCTTCAATAGGGTGTCATTGAAGTCAGGTCGACCGGTAGTAATCAAAGAGCGCTCGTTAAGAGAGATGCAGAAAATAAACCGGTCGATTCTGATGAGCGAGAGTCTTTTTTTTCAAGAAAGCAGAAGCAATAACAAGAGGACAAAGCACGTGTGCGTTTTGAGAGAGAACTTGTGGAACCCTCGTGGCGATAAACAGATTGAAAAAAGAATTGAGTGAACGTGGTTGATATTCGGAGCAATCTTATAAAACATAATTGAATTCTGATTTTGAGTATTGACTATTAAATATAGAGAAAAAAGATAGTAGATAATATTAAAAAAAAGGCATTAGAAAAACATAAGTATATATTGTAATAAATAAAATAAAATTAAATTAGCAATAATAATACAATGTACTATATAAATTAATTTGATTAAAAAAGAATTGAGTGAACGTGGGTAACACCACGGAACAAAGGAATATCTACGAAGATGGTCATTAAACAAATTACCGATATGAAGTCTAACTATTTACAGATATGGAAAGAAAAATTTCCAAACTTATTTTTATCTACATTGGGCAAAATTAGTGGTCATCAAGCACTGTACGTCAAACCCAATTGCGTGCCGAAATTAATGAAACCAAGACGAGTGGCGTTTTCGTTATGGGAGGCAGTTGAACGTGAATTGGAGGACATGGTACAACAAGGTCTGTTCGAAAAAGTTGATCATAGTGAATGGGCTACACCGTTGGTGGTAATACCAAAAAGGAACCATATAGTGCGCATATGTGGCGACTATAAAGTAACATTGAATCCAGGTTTGGTGATAGATGAGCATCCATTGCCAACACTCGATGAATTGCTTAGTTCGATGAGCGGTGGATACAAATTTTCAAAACTTGACTTATCAAAAGCGTACTTGCAATTGGAAAACCATCCGGATGATCGACATTTGCTTACACTAAATACTCATAAGGGACTTTATCAACCTACACGACTGATGTTTGGTGTTGCTTGCGCGCCAGCCAAATGACAACGATTCATGGATAAGCTAGTTAACGATATACCGGGTGTCTCAGTGTTTCTTGATGATATCAAAGTAACTGCACCAGATGATGACACGCATTTGAAACGACTAGAAGAAGTCATGCGAAGACATAACGTACATAACATGTGAGTGAATTGGGATAAATCGGAATTTTTGGAGGACAGAATACAATATTGTGTTACATTATTGATCGTAATGGAATCCGTAAAATGGACAGCAAAATAAAGGCTATTCAATAAATTAAAAAACCAAAGAGTAAGGACGAGATACGTTCATTTTTGGGATTAGTAAATTATTATGGAAGATTTATTCAAAATTTAAGTAAGATCGAATATCCATTAAATCGGTTGCTCCACAAGAATGCGAAATTTAATTTTGACGAACAATGTGAAAAAGCATTTATAGAAGTAAAAAAACAAATTCAATCGGACACTGTTTTAACACATTACAATCCCAATTAGCCAGTCGTACTAGCAGTGGACGCAAGCCCGATTGGTGTAGGAGCGGTACTAAGCCATATCTGTCCAGATGGAGCAGAGCGTCCAATATAATTCGCTTCGCAAACCTAAAATAAAGTTCAGCAGCGTTATAGTCATTATGATCGAGAAGCATATGCTATTGTGTTTGGAGTACGTCGTTTTTATCAATATTTATTTGGGCGAAAATTTATATTAGTCACAGATAATAAGGCAATTTCACAAATATTTGCACCGGACAAAGGTTTACCGACATTATCAGCTACGGATATGCAGCATTATGTTATTTTTTTGAAATCGTTCAATTTCGAAATAAAACTGAAGAAATCGACAGATAACGCCAACGCAGATGCATTGTCAAGGTTACCCATTCGAAAATATTGAAGAAATTGATGTTATCGAGTAGGAAATCATTGGAAGCTTACCTGTAATGGTGAACGAATTTAAGAGAGCCACGGAAGAAGATAAAGAGCTGAAAAATCTCTTACATTATTTGAAGTATTAACGTGAATGTGCCACAAAAAAACGATTTGGTGTACCGCTAGTTGAATTTTCGTTACAAGAAGGTTGTTTATTGCGAGGTCGAGTGTACTACTACTAGAAGAACTTCATACTGCTCATTTCGGAAGGACTAAAATGAAGGCGTTAGCTCGTGCCTGTTGCTGGTGACCGCGGATGGATGTCGATATTGATCGATTAGTGTCAAACTGTGCAGTATGTCAACTTACAAGGGCTGAAGTAAAAACAGTGGAACCGGTATCTTGCTGGTTGCGACCAAAAAAAGTTTTTGAGCGAGTACATGTGGATTTCGCTGGGCCAATTTGCGGAAAATATGTTTTTATATTGGTAGATGCATATAGCAAATGGCTTGAAGTGCATATAATTCCAAACATTACAACAGAAACTACGATATCAGTGTGCCGTAAAATCTTTGCAACGTTTGGAATCCCGAACGTAGTGGTTTCAGATCATTAAACACAATTTAACTCTACAATGTTTCAACACTTTTTAAAAAGCAATGGTATAATACATAAACAAGGTGCTCCTTATCATCCGGCTACTAACGGGCAAGCAGAGCGATTTGTGCAAACGGTAAAAGCGAAACTTAAAGCTGCAAACTCTACAGCAGCAAGTGTACAAGATGATATTTCAAAAATATTAATGGCTTATCGACGAGCGATTCATCCTGCAACTAATAAATCTCCGGCTATGCTTATGTTTGGTCGACAAATTCAAACACGGTTAGAATTGTTGTTACCAGAAAATAAAATCAAGGAAATCGAGCGAACAATTCCATCTAAAATATTTAGCAATGGGGAACGACTGGCTGCACGCGATTATTTTTCAATAAATAAATGGCGTTTTGGTAGGATCTTGAGATCAGTAGGTGATTTACATTATGTCGTTCAACTGGACGATAATTGAGTGTGGAAGAGGCATACAGATCAATTGCGAAGAGTTGGAAGCAACTTGCCAAATTCAACACAAACTGTGTTGATGGGGGAAAAAAGGGTAACTCAAGTCAAACAGAATACAATTCCGACTTTTGCAAACAAAGAGAACACTAAAATAAACGAGACTGAAGTGTCATTTGATATCGATTCCAAACGAGACTGAAGTGCCAGTAACTCCGATTCCCATAAGACGTTCGCAAAGAATGCGCCAGAAACCTCTTAGGTTTCGATAAGTTTGTATGTAAAGAATATTTTTATTGTAATTAATTTTGTAAACGCTAAATCATTGTATTTTACCTAGCAAAATATATTTGTAAAATAGGGTGAGGTAAATGTTATAGCCATCGTAGTTGACGTTAGCTAATGAAATGTCAAATATAATATTAAATGTAAAACACGTAATATTAAATAAATAGTTGTGTATGTGAATGGAAAGGTGAAGTATTCACATGTATAATTTACTACTCTAATAAAAACAGATGTCTACTTTTTCAGTTTTTAGTACAGTTTCAGGTTCATTTCTGTTTTTGGTTAAGCCGGTTGCGTGCCAATCAGGACAGGCGCTAGAGAAACAAACTCTTGTTGATACAATCAAACACGACGGTGGTAGAGTAATGGTATAGGGTTGCATGGCGGCTGGTGGTGTAGGTCAGTTGGAGTTCATAGAATCGACAATGAATAAATAAGAGTGTTTAAACATTTTAAATCGGAATTTGAAATAAAGCGCAGGTAATCAATGATTATCCATGACGTTTTAGATTATCTGACAGTTTAAAACAGAAATTATTAGAAAAAATAATTCGCCAGCATATGATAACAAGTACAGTACAAGCAGAATCAGCAAAACTTTCTGCTGAAGAAACTCAGAAGATAGTTAATACAAGTTCAAACAGATTAAGTGAAGTTTTAAGACAGCGGGGCCATCTAACAAAAATTAAATTTAACCTTATTTTATTATATATAGCGATTTTATAAGCTTTTTTATAACTAAACGCAGACTTTTACTATATTTATACCTATAGCCCATATTTACTTTATAGACCTATATTTACTTATTGTTTAAGTTTTATCTCGTTATTTTGAAAGTTAAGAGAATAATTAAAAGTTTTGTTTTGGCTTTTTGAAGTTTAGAAAGGAAAAAATAAATGTATGCAAAAATTTTAATATAAAATATACATTTATATTATGTTTCTATACCACATATCAAAATTCTTAAGGTGAACGCAGACTTTATTGGCTTTATGTAAATAATTGTTGCAATTCATGAAAATGTAACCAATAATCTATGAAATCTTACCTTGATTGTTTTAACACATCTTTCAGGCTTTTTGCATTCTTTTTAAGTTTGTCAGTAATTTTTTTTGGAGCATTATTATCATTGTTATTACTTTGGTTTATATAGACTTGATGTACTTTAGGATTTACTGATGCCTCAGTGTCGACTTGGTTGTTTGCATATTTTCTATTGACACAACGTACTTCCATTAGGCGTTTACGTCCCAATGTCTGCAAAATTTGCTGAGCTTCGGGATAGTCCTTCATTGCTGATAAGACATCTTCACGTGATAACGAAAATAACTCTGAATACCCCACAGATCGAACATCAGCAGTCCGCCTAAAATAGTTTTTAAATTTTATGCAAGTCATTAAACTAGATTAAATGTTATCACAAACTTATTAAGTCCATCCAAATTAAGAATACCGATTTCCCCAAAAAAATCTCCAGCCTTCATTGTAGTTAACACCTTTCCTGTTTCGCTAATTACTTCAAGAATTCCATCAGCAATAATAAACATTTCTCGAGCAACTTCCCCCTTTCGACAAATTGAATCACCTGGCGTGAAAATATATGCTTTCATTTTTAAAACTAAATCATGCAGAAATTCTGGCTGACATTCCTGAAATATGGTAACTTTTTTTAATACACTTAGATTAACATGTAATGCCAGCTCTGTCTTAAGCTTATCAGGTAAAAGTCCTAATGCAGTGTTTATATCTCCACCACCTTGTATTCGACCTCGAGACCAGCTGTAGTCATACCAACGTAAGACTCTTCGTTTCATTCCACCAGGTACCTACAATATGCAACCAAAATATACATTAGGGTAATAATATAATAGAAATATTAGCCATGCCTTGTGATGTCTCATATAAGTTTTAGCTCCATCTAAAAGTCTTTCAAACTCCAAACGATTAGCGTTGCGATTGGTTATTACATTACCAACTTGTCCAACGATTGTAGCAAATATAAATACGCCAATTAGATAACTCAGTATAGTAAACACATATCTGAAATAATTAACTATTATTATGACAAATTGTATGCTCATTAATTAGGAATGATTGTTTTTCTTAGTGATTGCCTTTAACAAAACTAATATACCCATATTCAAAAACTTATAGAACCGAATCCATTTAATAAAAAAAATGGGAAATGAAAGAACTAATTGAATTTTGGTTTGATGACGTAAACATAAAAGATATCAGTTGATACAAACCAGAGACCTGCAATAAGTACTCAACACTCGGATCATACTGGAATCATTTGCTTTGTTTCATTTATATGCATTCAACCTCTTTTTTTCGTGATTTCGACTCTAACTGATTCATACATACAGCAGACAGCACTTATAATGATTTATACTTTTCTCTTATAATACTCATAAACACCGCCACTTGACATAAAAGTGATGCAAGTCATTTTATGTTGTTTATTGTACATATAATTTCTTACTGAAACAACCAGTAATTTAATGCACAAATAATATTTAATAACATAAACAAAATGCATGCATTTACAATGTTAACAACAACAACATACACTAAAAGTATAACACATATTATAAGCACACACAAATTATTGGCTTAGCGAACAACAGCGCTCACACAAAATTTTTACGAATGCCTAACCGAGACATTCATTTTCGATATTCATTCATACATACGTTTATTAATATATACTACTCGAGTATACGCTGTAATCCATGAGTCATTTGATACTTATGACGCTGATTCATTAGCACCGGCACTCAAAACGAAAACACTTATGAATCATTTCTGTGGCGAATGAGAATGCATATAAGTAGTATATAAGAAAAATATTTATACGCACTTTTATTTGGTTCCTTATGAGTGTACTTTAAGTGTTAAAATTATGACTCATTGCATTTCTCTGATATAAAAACTGAGTCACAGATTTTTAATGGTAAAATTGAAAAAATAAATATAAAAATTACATTAATTATAATGAAATTTTATAAAAAATTTTTAAATTTATTAATTTTTCCCTTCCATTAATATACTGTGTTCAATGAAATAGCAGTGCAACAGAAGCAAAAATATATAACGATTTTTTGCATAATCCTTTTCGTTAGTTAATCGCTTGCATATTGTTTATGTAAAATGGAATATAGAGATAAGAAAAAATTTGAATGCGTGAAGCCCACGAAAGGTGCCAATACTTAATCAAAGGCATATCAAAGCGCGGTTGAAGTTTGCCAAAATCCATTGGACAGATGATTCTAAACTTGTGTTGTTTGATGGAGTAGGTTCTAGATAGTATGTACGTTGACCTCTAAACATGGAATATCTTCCAAATTATATTGTCAAGACAGTTAAGGACGGTGGCCTTAAAATTGTAGTATGGGCCTGTTTTTGATATAGCGATGTGGGTCCATAGGATCATGGACCAAAATGTATACGTTGATATATTAAGGAATGTTATGATGCCATATGCTAGTTCGAATATGCTCTTAAAATAGATGTTCCAGCAAGATAACGATCCAAAACACACCAGCAAATTCGCTAAAAATTGGAAAGGAAAGAAAGGATCGATTTTTAAAACTACTTAATTAGTTTCTGATGTAGATGCCGCCTTACAATTATTCATATTCCAACTCTCCAAAAGTTCTTTAACATACTTTTCCTGGTGAATGTAAATCGCACCGGTAAATGTTTTACCGGTCCACGATCTACAACTTAAACATAATGATTTAATTCGTGAATTGTTTCAGTCAATTGTTTTTTAGAGGAACATTCAACCAACATATCATCCACATAGAGTCCAATCAGTGTAGTTATATTTTCCGTTTTCTTGCCGTAAATATAATTATCAGACTGACACCGATTAAAACTCATTTTAATTAAAATTGTTGTAATTTTTTTATTTCATTCATAATTTTTTTATTTCATAGATTGATTTTTTTAATCGACACACGGCGTCCGGATTCAGCTCGTCCTAAACATTGGGGGCTGTTTCATAAAAATTTCATTTTCGGATTCGACATGTAGGTATGCTGCAGTAATATCACTGTAGTTTGAATAAGTCACTGTTGTTTGATACACAATTCCATTTTGTCTAATTCTTAAAAAATTTGAGTTCATATACCTTCTGCTCAAAAATTACTCGGATTTTGTAAATAAAACACACAAATTTAAATTTTATTCCAAATTTATTTTATCTCCTTCTAAATATGCTTCTTCTAAAGCTATACACATAAACCAACGCTTAACCCAATCTTCCATACACTTTTCGTAGGCCCGTGCAGGTATGGCTTTTAGTTCCTTCAGCTAATTCTCTTTTACCGATTCAATCGACTCAAAACGCTTACCACGAAAGGGCAATTTGAGTTTCGGGAACACGAAAAAGTCGCACGGCGCCAGATCTGGCGAATATGGTGCCGCGTTTGGTCAAAAAAGCGCGTACAACAAGAATTTTCCATAGTAAACATCTTGAGGTAGTCTCACATTAACAGCTGCTGTAAACAAACTAATTGACAGATGGCGTTCAAATTTGTACCATATGTCAAGAAAGGGTGTATCAAAAAAATTTGAAAAAGCTCTATTACTTAAGGAATAGTTAACAAACAACAAAAGTCGGGTACTTTTTGAGCAGAGGTATTCTCGGTCATTATCACTCCACATTACCTTAAGCTTTCTTTCAGTCTTTTTTTTTCATTCTTATCAGATATTCTTTGAACGCACCAAGAGCTTCCGATTTTTTATGAAGAAATTTAACTTCAATATATATTGAAAAATCGTCAATGTTATAAAGTACGCACTTCATCTTAATGAATTTATCTGCACGGGACCACAAATATTCGTATGCACCAAGTCTAATATGTCTTTTAATATAATTTCAGAATACTCATTATAGGATTTGCTTGTTATTTGACACATCGCGCACGTTTTGCAGCTAACATCGAGTGGCGAATTTAAGATTATTACATGCAGGGTGAGTAAATCTTTAATATTTAAATGTTCGAACCGTTTATGGCACGTTAAAAAGTTATTTTTTTAATAATCGTATTTACAGTTTCTTTGTTGTTTTCTAAATTTACGTAAAACGTGAATTTAAAACTATTTTATCCATATTAGATATAATATGGATAAAATAGTTCTATATAAATTAGAATGTAAGTCCGGAACATACAAAACATCTTTTAGTATAATTTTTTCACTGTTTACTATAATATTAAAATTTTCAATTCCTTGTATATTTACCGATGCGCCCGATACTAAAATCACACTTTCTTTGTAAGCTTTCATTGAAACAAAAAAACGTTTGTCTTTATACATGTGCGAGGCTTAAAACTCGTGTCTGTCAAATTAGAAGCTATGATTACTGGTGTTTATCCACAAATAGCCAAGGCTGCACAAACTGTTAAAGACACAGACATTTTTTATAGTCTCGACAATTTCGGATGCCCATACAGGAGCAGATATCTTCCTGCAAAGTTTTTAAAATAGAAGAAATTTATAAAATCGAATTAAAAATCTGATTCCTAAAAATCGTGTAGTAATCCACGATAAAGGAATAAATTTATTATTATTATGTAATAAATTTATTATATAATAATAAAATAATAAAATTTATTATATAATAATAAAATAATAAAATTTATTATATAATAATAAAACAAGATATTACATAAGATATAATAAGGATTTATTATGTCTTCCTCGTGGGCATACTCATTCTGAATAAATTTAATACCTATGAACTGCATCATTTCGTAGCATGTATTATGCAATATGCACGCGCACATAATTAAATTTGTTATAGAAGGTGTTCTTTGTTGTTCCATAAAATATAACATTAGACGAAACCTTGCTTTCATTCGCTCACAAGTGTCTTCTATGACAATCTTTGCAGATATGCAGAATATCCTAAAAAAAAGTACCACTGGGACATTTGTATGGAAATGATGCTGTAGTAGACAGTTGTGATTACCGTGAAATTCGGCTGTCATATAAGGAATCAAACTCTCCAATATATGCGTCTATAAATAAACCATTTTCATCGAAAACTCCCTCCTTGCTATGGTGTAGTGCATTTATTTGAATATGTGTGCTGTCTATGCAATCAATTATGACCGGAAATTTTTTCGTAGCTTCCACTTTTGCCATATTAGCAATTGCTTCGGCCGTATTTGGCTATCTTATAAATTGGTATCCGCTTGATATGAGCCACTCTATAGTTCTTTCAATTATTCTCCATGCAGAAGCTTTTCATATGCCAAAACAAATACCAATTTTGCGAAAAGTATACGTATTTGCCATAACATATACCATAAAAATATATAAGTTTCCTTCTCTGCACTCGACCGATTGTGACTACCACGGTTATTTTATATTCGTTGATTGGAATTTATCAACAAATTTATTGAAGTATGAAACATAATTAATAAATAACAACCGTATTTTTTTAATCGCACATACCAAGCAAATAATTAGTAGTACATCTTTGAAGTCCTGGAATCTTCATCGGAAAAATTATTGATCGTTTTCACAAAATTTCTAATAAATCCAAGCAGATGCACTTCATCCGATGAGCTTAAAAAACTTGAACTAGTGTTTCGCTTGATGACTCTAATAAAATCCGCAATTTTCATTTATTTACTTCAGAATTATATTTAATTTTTAAAGTAAATACTAAATAAAAAATTACATTTAATAGTTCAAACATTTCAATAGATTTTATTTTTTATTCTAGTTTTTGGTTTTTTATATTCAAAATTTTCTCACTTATTCGGTTAGCGCCAAAATTCTTCACACAAATCAAAAAAAATATTCCTTAACGTCAGCCTTCGTTTCAACGAAATTAAGGCCCATTTCCTTAATTTCGTTTTAACCTTTAAACTGAATTTTCCATAGAAATAGGTATATAAACATAGTATGTATGTATTGTAACGAACCTTTCTGGCCGGGGTTTTGCTCGCCGGATTCCAGGTCCAGTCCTACAATAAATTTATTTGATAGGAGCAGTGGAAAGTTTGAATACCCGGTGG